AAGGCAGTTTAATCTCTCACGTTCCATCTTCTAAAATGAAAATTAGCACGGAACTTTGCACGAATGCAACCTTAATCCGAAGCAAGCGCTTGGAATCCGTTACCGACAATATGTCATCAACAATTCTTACAGTAGACGTTAGGTTTTCGGCCCATACCAACAAGTACTTTCTGTTGAATAGGTTCCACGTAAAAACTCGCACACAAGTTACCAGTGAAGAAACCCATGGCGACATTATCTGCTTGTTTGTACACGAGACCTTCAACGCTCACGAAAGGAAGTTCGTCCTCATTACATGCTTCAAGTTGTTCCTCAAGTGCGCATTCTGGGATGTGAAGGGTTCTCACTTACGATCACGTTGGTGTACAGCATCCTGAGATCTCACACACTCATAATATGTCGACAAATTCCTTTAGGGAATGTTGAAAGCCCATGGAACACACACCAGCAGGGTGCCCAGATGCTGGGAGGCGAAGCTGAAATATGTTCGCGAAGTCAAAGGTCATTTCGTTAGTCTTGTATGTTGCTCATGTATTTTTCACATTCTGACACACAGATGTATAGCGTTAGACTCTTGATGTACTTTGTTAATGGATTATTCAGGGATCGTGACAATGGGTTATACTGTTGCAGTTATAGTTTGTTTTTACCTCAGGGGTTCTGACGTGTGCTTATTGGGATTTCTGCTGCTGCTACAATCATCACTGCTGTGATTGGTCCTACCATCACCACTAATGTTACGGCTGTTATTGCTGCTTCTGCTGCTGGTGGTGGTATGATCACCACTGATGTTGCTGTTTCCACTACATATACGCTTGTGATTGCTACTATCACCACCGATGTTTCTGTTGTTAACGCTGCTGATGTTACTTGTATCACCACTGTTCTACCTGTTACTACTACCGCTGCTGCGGCTTCTGTTCTCTCAGAATCATCACTGTTGTTGTTGCTACTGCTGCTGCTACCACAATTGTTGCTTTTGCGGCTCACTCACACCTAGTTGTGCTTGCAGGGGTTGAGCTTCGGCTCTTTAGTCTCGCCGCTCAACTGTCAGTCTACTGGTGTTAAAGTTCCTAAGCCTATTAAGCTCTATCATATCTACGTAAGAAACTGTGTATGGAGTCAGCCTCCACCACATCACTGTCATCACATTCCATTTGTTAACTACTCTGACACTGAAAAAATTATTCATAATGTTTCTTTGGCTTATCTGGGTACTCAGTTTCCACCTTGTTCGTGTTTGACCGATGCTAAATAGTTTGTGTTTGTCCACCCTGTCAATTTTTTAGAGAATTTTGTAGGTGGTGATCATGTCTTCCCTAACTCTTGTATCTTCCAGGGACGTGAGGTTTAGTTCCCATAGTATTTCCTCGTAACTCATACCTCTCAGTTCTGGGACTAGTCTGGTGACATACCTCTGAATCTTCACTCACTTTATCTTGTGTTGAACTATGTATGGATTTCCGACTGGAGCTGCATTCTCCAGTATTGGTCTGACGTAAGTGCTACATAATATTCTGAATGATTCCTAAAGCAAATTTGTAAAGGGAGTTTCCCGCCACCACCTACTGTGGCTGCTGCTACTACCACCACTTTAATAAATGTTGCAGCTGCTCGCTGCTGACAATGACGCTGTTCTCAGTAACGCAATCATCGCAACAACAAAAAAAGAACATTGAACCATCTTTGCACAAGAATTTCTTCTTTGATACTATAACATTGCTATTAATTTCGTGAACAAATATTAGCTTATGGAATCTACAAGTTGAATTGTTGACCGAACTTGAATTGTGTTTAAATTTGGAAAATTATGGCATTTAAAAGTACGTTTATTAATGTGAGTTATTAATATTATCATTTCGTTTATGTTATTGGCTTGCTTCTGTGGTTATAGTCATTGATTTTTAAGGGATTTATTTTCTACTTACTCTTTTTGGGCTGATACTTGGAGTACATAATTTTGCCAAGTAGAAATGATATCTTTCACTTTTTAATTTCACACTTCGACTTTTGTGAAAATGCCTTGGTTATGGCGGTAAGCTACCTCTAAGGAAACATATTACCTGTCGACCTCAGTGGTTGTGACTGGAAGATTCTCTTAGTTTTCTCTTCCAAGACATCCCGAATTAAATTACCAGAAATCACATCTGTCAATGAGGCCATATCACGAACCGAACGGCTTTGGCAGGACTGTGCCCAGAGCACCGCTGGAGATGAAAGTTCCCGACAAGAGATCGAAGACATCTTCTCAGAAGTGCATACATAGCGTCTTCTGGCACCTTAAAAGAAAATGATCTTTGGAATGCCACCTCAAAGATTTTGTAAAATGTCATGAAGAACTATTTGATGTTAAAGCTATTAATACTGAGATGCACGGGTGGGTGCTGGGCTGCGCATCGGCGCAGCTTGGATAAGTCGGTAGAGCGTCGGGCCTCGCTTGTTGCATGCCGGAGTTCGATCCTCCGTAGCCCAGCTCCAGCCTTCCCTCCGTCCGATCGCAGCTGCTTCTCGTATCCCTTTCCCAAATGCTCAATTGCCATTCTAGCTCGGCGAATTCCCCCGAGGTCTGCTATACGTGTTGTTTGCGGCTGTGACGAGGGCAAATGCTTTGCAGAGTCGTTTGGTATACGTGCAAATGTTCTCCAGATCTCTTGTTGAGTCACTGGTTCAATGATTAGTGACGAGCTCTGCTTATCACAAGGTCTTGAGTATGTAAATGCGTGTATATATGTGTATGCGTTAATGTAAATGCGTGAATGTATATGTGGTCAAAATAGTACATGTATTTGTGTGTGTATCAAGTATACTCAACATGAACCAGAGTTCTGTTCTTATGACCTGGAGAACTAACTAGCGCAGAAACCCTCCTCATTCGTTCTCATCCTTCAAGATTAACAATATTGTTTTGCCAGCAACAGTATTATTATTAGTAATAATACATAACCTCTTCCCCTTTGGAAAAGTCTAGCAAAGCCTAGCCCAAAAGAATCATAACATAACCAACCTTTTCTATCCTCAGATGGGGGGGGGGGGTCACTTTTCATATAAATATATATATCTGGGAAATAAGACATCTTGCCGTGTGGGGAAACATCTTGCGGGTGGGGAAGAAAATTCCCCAGAGAGGGTTTGAGTGTCTCTGGCCGAGGATAACGACCAATGAACTTCCTCAATAACGCCGGAAATAACCAAGGAAGAGCTCGTGAAAGTTGTCAACCGCAAGAATGCTCACAATGACTTCTTTCTTGGGAGGAAATGTTTGTCATTATCTCAAGATTAATCTATAAAAATATTATATATATATATATATATATATATATATATATATATATATATATATATATATATATATATATATATATATATATATATATATATCACTTAGATGCTAATTGTTTTCTATCTTTGTAATAAACGGTGACGGAAGAAATTCTGAATGTCTTCCTGTTGTATGAAGTTAAATTCATCAATAAATCGCGATGCTGTTATTGTAGACTTACGTAACACATTCCACACAAGCTAATACACCATACTGTATTGTGAATACTTGTGAGGGAGGGGGGGGGGGGTTACAGGTGTTTGTCTAGGTGTGATGGAGGTGAAGGGAAAGGAAAGGGAAGGTGAAGTGGAGGGAAGAACGGGAAAGGAAGGTGGGAATGAATGTGTTAGGTAGTGAATGGGAGAGGAAAGTTATGAAAGGTAAGGAAAATGGTGAGGGGTGTAGGAAACGGGATGAAGGGTAGGGAAAGTGGAGAAGGTTAGGAAAGAAAATGAAAGGTTAGGAAGGTGGTGAAGGTGAGGTAAGGTGATGATGCCAGTGATGAGGATGGTTGTAGATGCGGTGCCCGGCGGAGTACAGGTAGTAAAGATGGTTACAGTGATAAATACTGTTTGTAATAAAGATGGTGTCAGTGGTGAGGTTGGTAATTTGTGCTGAAAAGTCTCCATGGCGCAGTGGCAAAATTCTCGCCCGGCGCTTCGCGAGCCCTTTGGCCTGGGTTCGTATGCTGGCCAGGGAGGATTGACTGGGCACCAATCCTTAACTGTAGCCTTTGTTCACCCAGCAGTGAATGGGTACCTGGTTGTCAATCGTTTGGCGGGTCGTATTCCAAAGGAAAAATTTGTATTAAGGACCTACCAAAAAGAACTGCTTTGCGTGCTAGTGTGTGTGTGTGTGTATGTGTGTGTGTGTGTGTGTGTGTGTGTGTGTGTGTGTGTGTGTGTGTGTGTGTGTGTGTGTGTGTGTGTGTGTGTGTGTGTGTGTGTGTGTGTGTGTGTGTGTGTGTGTGTGTGACAAACATTAAACGGCGCTCAGCTAAGCCCAAGCCGTTGCGTCAGATACTAAGCTGTCTGGCACTTTACTGAGGGGAACCAGTCAGCTTGAAAAGATCAGGAGGTCTGTGAGGAACCAGAGGCCATTATAGCGCACGATTTTAACGAGGGGTGTTCCAGTCCTAGTTTTAATGAAAGATACGATGGGTTAACATTTTGCAAAAATAACTTTTTTTCTAATATTAATAATTATATATATATATATATATATATATATATATATATATATATATGTTGTGATTACTAAGGTAATTTTCTCCGCGTCATAATCAGTTCAACACATGATAAAGTAGACAAGAAATAACAATTTCTACGATTTCTTCACAGCTGGAAGAATAATGCAAGATATTTATCTTCGAATGAGAAGATAAACGTTTATCATGAGTTATGACGTGTTTGTCATCTAGAATACGAGAGATTGTCTCAGTCAACTGATGCCCAACCTCTTGGACTGGACGGTAGAGCGACGGTCTCGCTTCGTGCAGGTCGGCGTTCAATCCCCGAACGTCCAAGTGATTGAGCACCATTCCTTCCCCCCTATCCCATCCCCAATCCTTATCCTGATCCCTTCCAAGTACTGTACAGTCGTAATGGCTTGGCGCATTTCCTTGATAGTTCCCTTCAGTCAACAGGCGCCATTTATACTAGTGTTAAGCAGGCCGCTAAAAATGGGTCGTCAAGAGAGCGGGTCGTCAAGAGAGCGGGTCGTCAAGAGAGCGGGTCGTCAAGAGAGCGGGTCGTCAAGAGAGCGGGTCGTCAAGAGAGCGGGTCGTCAAGAGAGCGGGTCGTCAAGAGAGAGGGTCGTCAAGAGAGCGGGTCGTCAAGAGAGCGGGTCGTCAAGAGAGCGGGTCGTCAAGAGAGCGGGTCGTCAAGAGAGCGGGTCGTCAAGAGAGCAGGTCGTCAAGAGAGCAGGTCGTCAAGAGAGCAGGTCGTCAAGAGAGCGGGTCGTCAAGAGAGCGGGTCGTCAAGAGAGCGGGTCGTCAAGAGAGCGGGTCGTCAAGAGAGCAGGTCGTCAAGAGAGCAGGTCGTCAAGAGAGCGGGTCGTCAAGAGAGCGGGTCGTCAAGAGAGCGGGTCGTTAAGAGAGCGGGTCGTCAAGAGAGCGGGTCGTCAAGAGAGCGGGTCGTCAAGAGAGCGGGTCGTCAAGAGAGCGGGTCGTCAAGAGAGCGGGTCGTCAAGAGAGCGGGTCGTCAAGAGAGCGGGTCGTCAAGAGAGCGGGTCGTCAAGAGAGCGGGTCGTCAAGAGAGCGGGTCGTCAAGAGAGCAGGTCGTCAAGAGAGCAGGTCGTCAAGAGAGCAGGTCGTCAAGAGAGCAGGTCGTCAAGAGAGCAGGTCGTCAAGAGAGCAGGTCGTCAAGAGAGCAGGTCGTCAAGAGAGCAGGTCGTCAAGAGAGCAGGTCGTTGA